CTCCTGCCCTGCCTATACAGTACATATAGTAAAACTGCGCCACCTGGTGATGAGCCTGTTCACGGTTTCTGATGAGAAAGGCTCCCCAGATCAGATCAGCTGGTAGTGTTGACAGTTCTTCTCTTGTTGAGATGAAACAAACTGCTTTTATTCCTAGAACGTGGAGTGAACACCTTGCCTCCCGAGCACCCCTTGTTGGAAATCCGCCTCTGTGTAACAGAACACTAAACTGCTTAACTGGTTCTGTTCCACATCTTCAGGGCATTTAAATACTTACAATCAGGTTACATCTGAAAACAAATATGACAGAAAAAAAGGCAGCAGGTGTTAAACAGAGTTCTTCTCAGCCCACGGAGGGAGCCAAATTCAATTTAGCACCACGTTGTAAGTCCAAAATGGAGTTTCCAAAGCCTGCCCCAACAGCAGGTCACAAAAGCCCATCAGCTGAGAATCAAAAGACATGCGTCCCCTCGCTATCTCTGTGTTATTCTACAACTTTTGACAAACCACTCAATTAGTTTTTGCCTTGTTTTCCTATTTGCAAAAGATAGAGTGGTGCAGCCACTCCTCATTAACTAGAGTAAGCATGAACAAGTATTTTGAAATATTAATTGGTATTGCCAGTAAATAATAATTATAAACATCATATTGATTTGCAAGGTGAGTCCCAAAGCCCCAGTTTTAAGTACATTTGCTTTACAGCCTCCAAGAAGAGTAAGGGCCCATTGTAGAAAAGGGAAAGAAGAGAGAGAAGCGTTTTAGCTACACTGTTATAGATTCTGAATATCAAGCAAGGACATTCATCATTAGTCCAATAAAAGTTGTTGTGGTAGTTGTTGAAAGGGGATGGTGGGGTTGGAGGCAGAGTGTTGTCTTTATGTTTGTTGGGTGTTTATTTTTAATTTCACAAGATATGTATTCTTGTTGTGAAGCAGTCTAACAATAATAACACAAAGATTCCTTCCCAATTATCTCTTCCACCATAACGGTCCCATTTCCCTAGAAATGAGCCTGCCTACTACTTTGAAATGAATGGTTCCAGAACTTTCTCTATGCATGCATATGTATGCATTTATATGTACACTGTAAAATGCAGAGGTTGTTTTGTTTGTTTTTGTATTGTTTCAATTGCAAAAGAAAGAACTCCCAACTTAAACTGGTGAAACCCAAATAAAAAATCATAGCAGAAAAGGAGGGTTTATTGGCTCCTGTCTCTGAAAAGTTTATAGTAAACTGATTCAAGTGTAGCTGGATATAGGACTCAAACACCAGCATGTCCTCAAGAGAAGACTTTGCTCCATCTCTCCACTCTGCTTCATGCT